ACCTCTGAGGAAAGATTGAAAAAATGGGTTTGTTTAGTCTGGAGAAGAGAAGACAGAGGTGACATGATAACAGCTTTCAAATACATAAAAGGTTGTTACAAGGAGGAGGGATAAAACTTGTTCTTCTTAACCTCTGGGGATAGGACAAGAAGCAAGGGGCATAAATTGCAGCAATGGAGGTTTAGGTTGGATATTAAGAAAAACTTCCTGTCAGGGTGGTTAAGCATTGGAATAAATTGCCTAGGGAAGTTGTGGAATCTCCATCGTTGGAGATTTTTAAGAACAGGTTAGACAAACACCTGTCAGGGATGGTCTAGATAATACTTAGTCCTGCCATGAGTGGAAGGGACTGGACTAGATGACCTCTCGAGGTCCCTTCCAGCCCTATGATTCTATTATTCTAATGGATTAAGTGCGGGTCTGACAGCCAGGAACAACCCCTAGGTTCCATTCTGCCTTCTGCTCCTGACTCATTGTGTGGCCATGAACAAGTCACTGCCCCTCTCCGTGCCTCAGTTTCTCCATAACAAGCAAAGTGCGTTTAATCTTCTTGCCTTTTTTGGAACTTTGGGCATTGAGTACTGGCAGAGCTGGGATGCCAGGTTGGATGGGCCAGTGCTCTGATCCATTATACCAAACCCTTTCCCTGACTAGTGTAGGATTTAAGATGTGTATAAAGCAAAAATTAAATCAGACTCAGTCCACTTGCGGCTGTACCTTGTAGTATTTCCCCTGTTCGAAGCATCCACAGCTCTCCTGAGTCACACAGCCCTGGCCATCGAAGAAGAAGCCCTCATCACATTGGCAGCCTTCGGCACAGGTCTCCGGGCAATCTATGATGTTTCCAGCACAGGTGACAGTGCACAGGTCAGCACAGACCTCATAGTGGCTGTTGGCAGGGCAGGTCACAGCTTAAATGGAGAGAGGAATAATTATTGGCTGGACAGATCTCATACCATGGGCTAGAGGGAGAGAGACATAAAGGAGAGGAGAACAACACAGGAAGGAAAGGACAAGGACACTGAGGTTGTTGGTTCACACTGAAAGAGTCTATGAAGAATCCCAGAAGTCTGGAATTTTGTTCCCATAAATGCTGTCTCCCTCTCCCCTTTTGTTCCACACCCAGCGCACCTTGGCTACCTGAGCTCCATCAGTATCATGGACTTACGGCAGAAGGAGGCGCTCCTCCAGGGTGGGATGGTGACTTTGGCCTCTTGGCAGGCTGTCACGTAGCTGTGCATGCTCTGGCACAGAGCCTGTGCATCTCCATTGCTGAGGCACAGATCATACAGGCAGTTGTTGAAATACACACTGGGGCTGACCGTGCCGTGGCAGGCAGTGAAGGGGCTGTCAGGGGCTATGAGCAACCCACAGTAGTGGTGCTGTTTGAAGACATCCTTCTTCCTCTCCTCACAAACTGGACAGCTGTTCCCAGCGCATCTGTCTACACATGATGCTCCTGGGACCTGGACTTCCCAAGCAGACACAAATGCTGCCACATCAGAGGCTGTCCTGCCATTGGGGAGTAGAAACTTGCTGTCCTGCTGTCCACTGTAGTTCCCGCACAGGCCACACGTGTGGCCCTGGTATCGCTGTGGAACGGTGACTCTGGCCTGGTAAACCAGGTCGTAACTCACAATGAGGCCAAAGTCAGTTTGCACCAGGATGTTAGTACCATGCTGATATGCTTGGAGCCGCCTGTTGGCCGTGATCACCGGGAGGTTGTGGAACACCCCATCCACCTGTCCGAGACAGAGCATTCCACAGTGAGAAGGGGGAGTGGACACTGGGCAGGGGCGGGGACAAGCATTTTCAGATTCTGCTCTCACTCACACCATGGACTAAACCCAAAATGACCCATGACTCCAGATTTCACTTTGGAATGATTTATCCTCATCTTCCAAGCTTGTGACACTGTTACCTGACCTACATCTCTTCTCTCATCTCCCTATCCACCCATCTGCCTCCCTCCTGATCCTCTCTCTTTCCCATCCCTATCTCCTCCACCCATGTTTGGCCCACACCTTCTTATCATGACAACCCCTGCACTCAAAATAATTTCCCACTTCTTTTCCATCTCCCCCTCTCTCCTAAATCCCACTTTTCTCATGAATCCTTCTCCATTCACCATTTCCCTCCCTCTTCTGTCTGCCCAATTTCCTATATGTCATGTTCTATTTGTTCCAAGGTAAACTACAGACTTCTCAGGGGAATTGATCATGGGACAGATTCTGAAACAGAGAGGCCAATGGAGTTCCCAAG